TATTTCCATTTGTATTTTGTAAGGCCCACTTAATTACTTTTTTCTTTTTTTCTTCTTCTCTCTCCATGAAGCTCTGTCATAAACCCCTACCCCTAACCCTTCATAGCAGCCGCCCATCCGAATCCCCACCTCTTTGCGGTGGCCCTACCCTATTTTAGGAATTATGGTATTTTCAACATTGGAAACCAACAAAACAGATTGTATACTTCAAAAGGAGTGCTAAGTCAAAGCTCAACAAAGCCTCAAAATTCAAGCTTATCTCCCAGCTTCAATAGAGTCAAACACCAATTATCATATTAGTAACACTCAATTATCATATTAGACTCGGAAAAATTATGTTAGCTTGAGAACACCAAGCATAAAAGTGCACATGGCAAATGTAACACCCCCAAATCTCCCTTTATGGAAATACCAGTATAATACATATAATTATACCTGTAGACACCTAAAAATATCTCCCCAAAACCAAACCCGATGATGAACAACATTTCACCGCCATTATTGGTCAGGTCGAGTATTTAATCCTGGTAGTGCTTAAAACCCATATTCAGTCAAACACTGTTTGCAAATCAGTCAACAGATTAGTCCAAACATTTAGTAAAACTCAGTCCAACTCTCATTTTATCCCAAACCCTTTTTAATTCATTTCGTGTTATTCATTAATTAAGCCCGATTAATAAATAATAAAACCCTAAGCCTGAAATAAGTCTGGAATAGCTGAAACGGCGCCTAATTATCACATGCTTAATGCTTAAGTAAAATATGAAAATAAATCTGGACGGAATTCTGAAAAAACAGAATTGTCGTGTCACGGAAGAAATGCCGCGCCACGACAATGTTTGCAGTGTCACGGCAAATTGCACCGTGTCACGACAATTTTTGCCGTTACGCGGCATTTTCTAGGGTTTCTCCGCGGCGCATTTCATTTCTAGGGTTTCGTGCATCACCCTGTTCATTTCCTCTATAAATACGAGGCTGATTTCCTCAGTTTTGGGGCACCAAACAATTTTCTCTTCCTTTCTTGGGCACCAAATCATTCTCTCATTCTCTCTTATGCTCTAGCCTAAACACTAGCCTCCCTTATTATTTCACAATACATCCCCTATGCACTCCCTAGAGTCCATACAACACCCGAAATTATATACTTAAACCAAGGCGTGAAAAGTAGAATCGACTGAGGGTTTGGACCAAATCAACTCTATTTTTATTTAATTTAATTTCAATTTAATTTATATATTTATTGAAGTTACTAATAATTTCTTCATGATATAGCAATTCAAAGAAACGTGGAACGTGAGTAATTAATTCACTTAACTACTATTTTTATTATTCTTGTTGCTAGTATCATGATTAGGTTTATTATTATTTGATTTGATCAACGTTATTGTGGTTAAATTGCTTCCAATGTTGATGTTTATTCTATTATTGTATTGATCACCATATTGCATGTTTAAAGGGAATATGTAATTAAATATAACGACTAATAAGATAATTTGGACAACCAATTTAGGTTCCTTTTTAATCTTGCTGCTTAATTGAAGTGATCACGATATTATAGAATTGTATGTTGCATTAACATTCAACCAATTTAGCTTAATAATAGTTTGGAGCAAATTGAATCTTTGTTTGCATGCCTTTGAGATCGCAGGAAATACTTTTCACAATAAGAATCGAGTAGAGGCCAATACGGGCGAATGTGACTCCGTGACTCACTTTGTTCCATCATCCCCGATCCTCCTCTCGTGGTTCCGAACCATATGGAGTTAGTAATCTCATGGATTATGAATAGAGTGTAACCTTCACGGATCAATCGTTGTTGCCTTTCGTTGTCCCTTATCGTGGTTGCCTTATAATAATCCGTGAACGATTTACATGTTCCTTAAAAACTTGTTGGCGGCTCCCTACTTTCCTTGTCCCAAATCATATTTTATCAATTCCCAATTCCTATGAGTGCCAAGCATATTCACAACATGCTTACATAGGCATGCTTCAAACGACGCCTACAATACCGTAGAGATAGACGTAGGCGTGTTACCGCCGCGTGATTACGCAAGGCTACTCAAAATCAGTATAGTACAAGATAAGTAAACTCAAATCAGCAAATATGCTTTTAAAACCAAATCCAATAATTCCAAATTAAAACTCATGATTCAAAACCAATTATCAATATTCTCAAAACAATTCCAATAACTCAATAATTAAATAGAAACGATTTATAAAACCAATTCCTCTTTCTAGAAAACAATTCCTCACCCAAGTGTGCACACCCCCCAAGTTAGTGTCCTTATGTATAAGGCTATCCTTGAGGAAAGACTAGGTCATATAAAGTCCATAGTCTTATCAACCAAATCCGCATAGTGGGATTAATATAATAATCATGATTGTAAATCTTTTATAATAATCCAATAAATCCTCATAAAATTCATCTTTGAATAAAATCAAACTTTATAATAGAATAACTTAAAAACTTATTTTGTATTTAATTCAACAAGCTTTTAAAATCAAACCTTTTTTAAAAAAACTCTTTAAATCAATGCAACATACTCTTAAAACCAAATTCCATTAAACATAATAAATAATTTCAAACCATTCAAAACAAGATAAAAATCCATTCTCAAACATATTTATAAAAACATGAATTCTCAAAGTTAATTAATAAATCATAATTCAAAACAATTTAATTAAAATCACACAAACATGCTTATTCATTCAACAATTTCGAAGGTATCTAGCCACCTAAGCGTACCTTATCTAGCCACCTAAGCGTACCTTAATTCTGAATCTCAATCAACACTTCACACTTTCAAAGTTCAATCACGAATACACCTTGCAATTTACATAACCATAAGGTTATCACAACATCTTTAGACATAACCCAAAATCTAATATGCATGGACTGTAGAACTCTTATAAAAATAATATTTTAACATAAAATTATAGCTTTGAAATAAGTATTTATATTTTAGAAAAATTACCACGAAGAAAATAAAGGAATAAGATTAAAGAAAATTGAATTTGCGTTGGAAAGAATTTTCAGAGTCTATAACTCCAAATTGGGTGATTCTTAATCCTGACCTCAAGGATTTTTTGAGAGCAACAATTTTTTGTGAAATAGCAAAACCCCAAAACTGGCTTCAAATGTATACGGGATAATATTTGTATGAAAAGAGGAGAAGAAAAGTAGAAAAGGTTGAGGGAAAAGAAGAGTAAGAGAGAAGAAGAGAATGAGTTTTTGGTGTGAAGAATATGAGAGGTATGAGGGTGTATTTATAGGCTTGAGCATGCAAGAATTAATATAAGATTTTGTAGGAAGAATTATGGTAAATGTAGTTTAAGGAATTACTTAGAAAAGAGAGTTTAAGAATTAAGGAAGGTTTAGTTTAAGGTAATTAAGAAATAACGAAATAAGGTAAGTGTTTAGTCATGAAATAAAAGAAGGCAAGTGAGCTTGCTTGGAGAATAATTAAGAAAATAGATTATGAAAAATGTTAAATAGTATGATGATCATGAAAATAGTTTAAGGAAATAAAAGCTTGCTTGGAAAATAAGTATAAGAGATTTGAGATCAAAATATGTATGATAAAATATAATTTATATTGGAATAAGAAAATATAGGAATTAAAGTAAAATAATTATTTTATAAAATCTAAACAAAATCCGATTAATTATATTGATTAGCCGAAAATTCCTAACTAATTATTGTTTAGAATTTTCGGACCAAACACAATAATATAACCTGATTTATTTATCTAGAAAAATCCGAAATTACCTATGTAATATTTTTGTTTTTTATTAAAATAAATAATTAGGAAATTCTTAATTAACTTAATCAAAATCCAATTTTCCTTCACTAGAAAATCCGAAAATAATTAGTTAATTAGTTTAGGAAATTCTCTTATAAAATGGGTCCAAAATAATACTTTAAAATTTATTAAAATATCTGAAAATAATTATATTTTTTCAGTTTTAATTAAATATTTAAATGGATGATTAATCTTATCCAAAATCCAAAATAATAATCGTACTTAGCATATTTTGCCAATCCGTATTTCTTATTTATTTTGGTTCGCCCTGTTTATCGTAATGGTAAGTAGTGTTGACTAATTTCAGGTGGAGTCAAGAATTGAGCATATGGGAGTCTCAGGAATGTTCTTCACCTAGATTAGGAATGTTGGTCTTTGTCTATTTATGAGTACTCATGACTATGGTTACTATTTATATTATTATTAATAAAAAAAGTATTGAAGTTTCCGCTACAAAGTATTGGTTTTGGTTAGTAGTTTGAGTAGCCTTGCGTAATCACGCGGCGGTAATACGCCTAAGTCTATCTCTACGGTATAATTATACGTATTATACTAGTATTTCCGTAGAGGGTGATTTGGGGGTGTTAGTTACAAAGTGGTATCAGTTTTCAAGGTCTTAAAAAGATTAAAATTGGGAATATTACTAAAAATTGTGGGTGGGCTTAAGAGGGCATATAAGCTAAGATAGATAGAGTTTCACATTTGTGTGTGAAAGTCAAAAGCTTTATTTTTATATAAAAATATTTTCCTATTTGTGGAAAGATGATTGAGAAAAGGATGCTCGGGTTCTCTACGGAGGCCTATAATAGGTACGCCTCTCTGTCTAGGAAAGGCTCGTCTCGACGCTGTAGGTAACTTTCCTGGGAGACACGGGCTTGACCGTCCTATATCATGACTCAAGTACATTATTATTATTATTTTTCAAAAAAAAAAAAAAGAATTGAAACTATTTGAAACTTGAGTTGTATGATTATGTGTGCATTAAAGTTGGTGTTAAAACACCTTAGGATATGGTCTATGGTCCGAATATTTAAGCTATTACCCATGATTGGGTGATCTTAAGTTATACTTGGTTGATTGAGTTATGAATTGCTTATTGCAAATGGATTTTTGGATTGAATTGTTTATGTGATTTAGCATTGAATTGATTGTTTTGCATGTGTATGTGAAACAGATGGAAAGGATTGATGATATAAGAAAGAATTACTTTAACTTGCATTAAATTTTTGTTCTTCCTCTACTAATCTATGATTATAATAATATCAATCAATAATCTATAGCTATATATAACTATAGATCACTGTGAATGGCACGGTAGCTAACCTAGTTACAAACATAAATACAAGAACATATCATGAAAGATCCAGACTCAACTACAAAATCAAGCGTCAACTCTTTGAGAAACAATTACAGATATTAAATATAAAAGTTAGAGTATAACTAATTTAGCAGTTGGAGGCAGCCACTTATTGAACTTTTGAGCTTGCATTCTATTTTCTTCAACACTGTCATAAAGAGCACGAGGAGTCTTCTTACTTGTTCTGTAAAACCCGCTAACGACAAGCTGCTCAAGCAATGGAGAAATACTGAGCAAGTGCTGACCGAGTTCCATTTCCGAGTAACCTCCACTAAATTTCAGCATCTCAATGAACTTGAGGCTTGGATGACGTACTTCCCTAATAATGTTGAGTAAGTTTTCGTGATAATAATCCTACACAAATACAAATTCAGTTTAGCACATACAGTAACAATAGTAATTGAAACACAAATGTATATTTACCACCAAGAATATAGATAGATCACCTCATCAGGATACACCTCCACCCTGTTCAGCTACCAAAAATACATAACAGAATTAGTATGAATATGTACAACTATAAAATTAGATCAAAGGAGTTAAAATTAGTAATGAATTTATACAACTATGAATTAAAATAAAAGGAGTTATACAGATGAAGCAATACACCAAATCTTGCTTAGAAAATAAGTATGGAAATGAACATTACAGCCACAGTTCAAGTTCAGCAAACTGCATCGACATATCAAGCCCCAACCTTCACTTTGTTATTAAATTATGTCTAGAAAACAATTAAAAAGAAAAAAAAAATGTTTGAAACGTCATGCATGTGATTGGTAAAGCATACCCCATAAGTCCATTGGGTTTAATAGAGACTAGTTTAACATTGTTAAACCAAAACAGCTAGTGAAACTAGATCGAAAATCAGGATGTAAACAACTAATTTTCATATTTCAGCCTATTCCCAAACACGTAAATCCATTCAACAAGACAGTGACAAGGTGACTTATACATGAAATTCGAAAGAGTGATCAAGGAAGTGTAGGTGTGGACACTGAACAGAGATGCCAATGCATAGGTGGGTGATAGGTCCAGTGAATTCCTTAACCCTACTCAGATCACTTTTCTGAACATGAGATAGATAACCTTAACTAAGAATCACAAGGAATGCTTTAATTTTACCTCAATTGAAAATTTCTGCAGGGATGGAGCAGCCTTTATCAGCATGATTAGCCAAAGGTAAGGGTGAGAACTCCACCGATCTGGTACCACTTTAACTTCCAACTGCTCAAGCTTTATGAGTTTAGGAAATTCCAGCAGGTAATCTACGGAGAATTTTGCTGTGTAAGAATTGATATCCAGCTTAAGCCTCTTGAGTTGAGAGATGTAATTGATAAAAAGCCGCGCACCATTTCTTAGGAAGCTTCGGGAGTATAAAGAGCCTATATAAAGTTGAGATAAAAGGGGAACATAATCTAGTTGAAGGCATTCCTCAAAACCACTACTGTATCGCAAACATATGAGATTTGGTGATGAGATCTGAATCCTTTGATAATAACAATCGACAAACTCCAGGCTCTTCAACTTAGAGGATTCTGTGCAGACTCTAATCTTATGCAGAAAACGTGATTCCCACACAGCTAAGCGCTCAAGAGATGGACAGTTTGACAGCATCCAGTCGATAACCTCCCCCGAAACATTTATAGACTTAAGGCAAACATCTCTAAGGTTATGTATTTCATTGATGGCAGAGATCTTATGTATAGCTGGAAAAGTGTAAATTTTGGGACTAGTCAGTGATGAAAAGTCCAGATGAAGCCGAGTAACCTTGTTTTCAAGCGCAATTTGAACCCACCTATCGACGGCTTGATAACTACTACCAGTAGTGGAATTGAAACTGAAACGAATAGTTAGCTCATCGAATGTTGGCTTAACAACTTCCAAAATGCGACTTATTCCCTTTTCTAGGATGGGTTGTCTTAATCTTAGTCTAGAATCATAATCATGTGTAGCGGGATATGAAAAGATCAATTTGGAGCCAATGCTTTCAGTCCACAAGTTGCGCCATCTACGGGAAAGGACACTTGTTGTCACGGCTTCTCTCAAGGACAATCGAGACAATATATGACACACAATAATATCATCGCTCAACCGGCTGAAATTGTCAACTACACTCGGACACTGCACATAAAATCAATTAATAACTGTATACTAAAAGACACACCAGCACTGACACGTGTAATAAAACAATGACAAGTTCACCTTTCGCAATGGCCATGTTCCTGGAGCTGTCTTATTATTAGTCTTACGCTTAGCTAATTCCGCGGCTAATTGACTTAATTCAGATCTCTTACGCTTAGCAGGCATTAGCGCAGTTTTTTTGTTTTTGGTTTATTCAAACAAATATCTGCTACCAATCAAAAGAGAATAACATTATTTGCAATTCACGATTACAAATCAATCCAACGGATGATTTAATTAATTGATCAATTATGGGAATTAATGTAAAATGCAAATAGTTGAGATTTAGCAAATTTCATCTAAAGCGAGCAATAATAATCAATTCTAAACACAATTATATAGTTGAGATTTAGCAAATTTCATCTTAAGCGAGCAATTCTAAACAATTCATCTCAGCAATAACAAAATTAAAACAAGCATATATACTTTTGAATCCAAAAATAAAATAAATTTTGCTCAACTTTACCTCTGAAAGTTTGTTCTGGTATTATTTGTTCACTGCTTCTGAAAGTTTTGCTGAATTTAATTTACTACGTATATATATAGGGAGGACAGAGAAAGATAGGGGTTTTCTTAATTCCAACAAATATAGGATTTAGGATTTTATATGCTCAGCCAATTTTATTGGATTTTTATTTTCCAAAATTTCTTGTGTGGGCTGGTCTACATTAACTATTAATGTGAACCAAAAGCCCATGCCAAACGGCCCAAACCTCAAACTCTTACTTTTTACTAGAGGTGATTATTGGGCGGGTCGGGTTGGGGCTAAAAATTATGCCCATTTCTCGGGCCGGGTCAAGTTTCGGGCTAGATTTTTGTGCCCAAACCTGCTCAAAATGGTGGGGCCGTGCAGGCTTTTCAGGCCGGGCCTAAAAAAATCAACTAAATATGCATAAAAACGCATTCCCAAACTCGTCCAAAAAAAAAAAAAAATTGGGCTGGGCCATACTTGATCAACCTAATTTGATGATTACAGTCAATCAATCATCAAATTATTAGGTCATAAATACAGGGCAATTTCATAATTTCATCCCAACACTAAAGAATTCTGCAACACATTAGTAACCAAAGTTGATTCAATCATCAAATTAGTGTCATATATATCCAAGTAGGGGTGGCAAATCTGGCAATCCAGTTCGGATCTGACCCTACTTCGACCCAATCCGAGGAAAAAAATCCACAATGAGTCCGAGGAAAATGTAATTCGAATCCGAATCAGTTAAAATAATCCGACTCCGAGTCGGAGTTAGATTCTACAAAAAATCTGATTCCGAGATAATATGATCCGTAATCTAACTCCAATTCCGACTTATATATAATTGTTTTATTTTTCTGGGGTTATGTGTAATTTTATACTTTAGTTGTGGAGTCAATTAGTGTTTTGTTTTTATGATCATTGTATGTAGTGTGGGTTGCAAAGGTCCAAATAGCCCAATTTCTCACAGTAAATTGAGTGACTGAAAAAAATCGGAGTCAAGTCGGAGTCGGAGTCGGATTCAGAGTCAGATTTAGCCTTTGACATCCTGTTGCCATCAAACTTAATTTCCGAGAACATGCAATAAAAGACATCAAACAGGAGGAAGATAACCTGTTGTTTCTTTTTCTAATTATCAAATACGAAGCATTAATTTATTTCACAATCCGATAGGGTTTATAGTTTATTTGATTGTTAGTATGTTCAATTTAGGGTTCTTCGAAACTCCATTATTCAACTAGATTATAATTAGTTAAGTTACGGAAAAGAAAATTATCATCTTAATTTGATAATTGAATCATATTTGGCCTTTAATTTGGATGAAAGTATGAAATTGTACCTTTTTCCCCTGAAATTATATATGACACTAATTTGATGATTGAATCAACTTTGGTTGCTAATGTGTTGTAGAATTCTTTAGTGTTGGGATGAAATTATGAAATTGCCCTGTATTTATGACCCTAATTTGATGATTGATTGACTGTAATTTGGTTGCTAATGTGCTGCAGAACTCTTTAATATTGGGATGGAACTATGAAATTGCCCTAAATTTATGACCCAAATTTGATGATTGACTTGACTGTAATTTGGTTGTTAATGTGTTGTAGAACTTTTCAATGCTGAGGTGGAACTATGAAAAACCCCCCTAAAATTGTGACCCTAATTTGATAATTGAACTAAATTTGGTTGCTAATGTGTTGCATAACCCTTTTAGTGGTCGTATTGAACTCCCTGAATTTAATTGCTGTTGAATATACTAAAGTATTGGATTGTTTTGATTGTTGCAGTAGTTTGTTTGAATCAAGAAATTCAAGATGTATAATGGCCCAAACCTGCTAACTCTAGCCCAAACCTCAAACCGTTACTTTTTACTTTCTAACTATGGATTAGCAATCCAGTTCGGATCCGACCCTACTTAGCCCCGATCTGAGGAAAAAAAATCCGCTCTGAGTCCGAGAAAAAAGTAATTCGAGTCCGAATCCGGTAAAATAATCTGACTCCGAGTCGGAGGAGGGTCGGAGTCAAATTCTACAAAAAAAAAAAAAAAAAAAAAAAACTGATTCCGAGATAATATGATCCGTAATCTGACTCCAATTCTGACTTATACATACATACATACATACATACATACATACATACATACATACATACATACATACATACATACATTTATTTATTTATTTATTTATTTTGGGATTATGTATAATTTTATACTTTTGTTGTGGAGTCAATTAGTGTTTTGTTTTTATGATCACTAGTGTGCGCCCGTGCTAATGCACGGGTTATATTAGTATAGATAGGATTACTTAAAACTTCCATCTGACAAATAAAACAATTATTGATTTTAGAAAGTTTATTAAGGGTTATGTATATCATTTTAAAAAAAAAAAAATATTTACATATAGATAATAGATAAATTATTGACTTTGAAATCCTTTCTTAAATGTGTACTAACTGACCATCGATCCATTAACCATTGATAAATTTACTTTTAGAAGATTGATTATAAATTTACATCATAGGAGTAGATGAAAACTCAAAGATAAATACAAATGGCTATCACATAGTATCCAAACTAATATATACATGGATAAACACTCAACTATAAATAATAAACCACACAATATTAATGGAACCAATAACTATACAACAATGATAAAACAATATACTGTACTATCAATCGTTGATTTTGAAATAGTTTTTAAAATGTATGATAGCACATTTGCTTTTAGATAACTAATTAAGTAACTATAGATTTACAATAAAAAAAAAAAAAAGTGGTTGAAAACTCTAAAGCTTATATAGAAAAGACTTAAACTGTACTAAAAATACATGGTTAAACACTCAATTATAATAAACCACACAATATTGATGGAAAAAAAAATACAAATAGTTGGTTCGACCATCTCACGGTTTGATTAAATCTTCATATTCCTTAGCCGTAGGAAATGTAATTTCCATCTCATGCACGAATCAATATGACGTTGTATAATACAGTAATAATGAAACAAATCAAAGCAATAATATTCATTAATTGAAATGAATTGGATTATCTTATTGTACAATATAAATCCTGAAAAAAAAAAGAAAGATGTAAACCAATAAGTACAATAGGTGAATGCAAATGACGTACTGATAATTTTCGCCTTACTTTTTTTCTTCAAAAACAACCGACTTTTGAGTGCATCTAGGCGTATAGGGCCTATGTGTTTCACATGCACAATAGATGACATTTTGGGGTTTATATTATTTTTTCTCTCTTATAATGGTACAGTGGTACATTTAATGTACCATTATGCATGTAATGATACTTTTTGCCATCAAATTTTCTATCACCGCTTTTTCTCATGTTCCCATTATTTACAAAAATGCTATCCTATTTGTTTCATTGGCACATGAGCCCTATGCGCCAATACTTCTTCCCAACTTCCAACTAAGAACATTACAAACTGCAAATTCATCATCCCATGAATGTAAACCTGCAAATAATTTTTATTTTTATTTTTTTTAAAAAAGCCCAACCATTTCAATCAAAAGTCTAGAATTTGTTAAATAAACCAAGGTGCACCATACACCCAACTAACCCAAGGTTAGTTTTTGCTCTTTATTTGATGATTAAGTGAAAAAACAATCATTAAAATAAGAACAAAATACTCATTGGTACACGGTGCACCCGGATGTAGATAACAATCTCTCTCAAAAGTCAAACGGTACCGTAAAACTGTGACAACCGCCATTAATAAAGAGATTAGTAGTTCTTTAAAAAAAATAAAATAATAAATAAAGAGATTAGTAATATTACCCGGTTAACAAACTATTCCCAAAATTAACTGTTTTTTTTAAAGCATTCCCAAAATTATGTATCATTCACAGAATCACATGTGACTCTATATTAGGATGAGAAAAAAAGACTCACATTGCCACAGATCCACAATTCATTGCTCTCATCCTAATCAAGTAATCAACAACTGTCAAAAAAAGAAAAAAAAAAAAAAAATCCTAAACTACAACGACCAACCTATAAAAATTCCTAAGAATTAAATAATACGGACTACACATTAAGATTCTTATTGCACTTGTGCTGTTGTGCGTTACCCATTATTGAGATATGAGAGAGTATGAGAAAGGATAAGAGTATGAGGCATGAAAATGTAGTATATCCCTCTAGGTTGATGATATGTATTTTTTTAGCAAATCATAACTGCTACACGCCTAAAAGCATTTATTTAGCCAGATTTTTTATATTATTATTTTTTTTGAAATTTAAATTTAGATTAGATAATTTGTTAGAGGGATTTTATATTTTGGCGGAAGAGAATGAGAGTTTAACATTGAGATTTTGGAGGCTTCTCGTTAAACGTCTCTTAAATTATACTCCGTATAAAACATTTTAGCGACTAGAATGTACTCTAGTCACCAAAATGTCAATTATGGTCTTTAGTGAACATTTGGTGTCAATTTAATTATATAGGCAATGTTGTGTCTGTAAATGTAGTACACTTTAACATTTAAGTTTGAGTCACTGAATGTTATTTTGCCTAAAAAATTAATGCCGTACCATTAAATTAACTGGTACAATTAATTAAATATATAGTATTTAATACTTTATTATTAAAAAAAGTATTAGATATATTTATATAAGACTTATTAAAACATATTGAAGTTTTAAAAATCTGATTTGAACTTAATAAATCAACTAAAAACATTTTTTTTTACGGGAGCTTAGAACTTATTGAATTTTATTGAACCTAATTGAATTATCTAATCTTATCTAAACTTATTAGCCTACAACTTATTTAGTTTTTAAAGTGAAAGAAACACGACTTAAACATTTGCAAGATCGAGTAATATTTATAATCAACCTAAAATGAAAAAATGGACAATTGAATAAGGGACTTGTATATTGCGTACTTTATCCACTAAGCAAATGTACACAAAGAAAATGCAATAATTAATAAGAGTAGAAGTATGACTAGCTGACTATCCTTGTCATCTATATCAAATTAAGATAGAGCATTATTGTTACATCATTAAAGCAATTAATATGGATAACTAGATATACATTACTTCATATACAAATCATATCTCAGGTCACATTCATGATAATTAACATGCAACAATAT